CACACACACACACACACACACACACACACACACACTCACTCACTCACTCACTCACTCACTCACTCACTCACTCACTCACTCTCTGGTCTGTGGCACGTTAAGTGTGTTTCATGATTAATTAAACAAACAGTGACATTCGAGGACAGCTGCTGACTTGATAAGGATTTATCTTTTGGAATCATGCCAGGAGTTCATGTCTAAGAAGCTGACTACAGCTCCTGTCAGTACACATGTAGATGTAGTGAAAGGAGAACGTTCTAATCATATGTTTCCTTTGATATTAATGGTTCAAATCTCAGGCAGATATTCATCTAGCGTGATACCTCCGGCAGAGACATTGAAGTAAATGTGATTTGTATGTTTTCAAATATAAGTCTGACCATGTTTGGTGCTCTGTAAACCACAGTGGCTTCGCAGACTGGAGACACTTCCAGACTCCAAGAGGCAAAAGAGATTCAGCCAAGTGTTCCACAACTGAGACACTCAATCTGTTTTTACGCTTTTTTTTCTTTGTTGGGATGATTTTCCAAACGACTCGTTGTTTAAATAAAAGCTGCGGCTCTTGTCATCGTCATGTGCATTGTTTGCAAAGCTGAAGCAGCAGGCCGCTGTCTAGGTGGCCTGGAACACGTCCAGCGTCTCTAGCTTAAACATCCGAACCACAGGCCCCGCTGTCACCACACACACACACACACATACACTTTTTCTATTCTTTTTTGATAGAGTAGCTTTTGTGCAGGAGCTTTACACTGCAGTCCCCCCCCCCCCCAAACTCATATTTTGATCCGAAACAGGACGATAGTGTTCACAACCACTGAGGATTAGTCTCCTCTTCCTCTGCTTCAGATCGGTCCATCCTAAACACCTTCAACTGAAGAAGCTAAAAAAGCTCATTCAGAGAGCGATCCATACTACATGTCTGTATCTGTGGTGGTGGTGATGATCATTGTCCGAGGCAGCCATGCAAAAAAAAACAAAAACTAACAATTACTATGGGTCCAACAGGGAAAGAAAGAAATTCAGGCACCAGACCCCAATACTACTCTTTTCTTTTAAAAGCTCTATAGAACTAGAGCTTTAAAAGTTGAATGTGCTTCTACAATAAAATCCTCTCAAAAAACGCTTTCAGTCCATTTTAAAAAGCCAGTCAGTGGTGGGGAGGAAATAAAAAAAATATCCATGATTTCTGTTTTCAAACAGAGGAGCAAAAAAAATGCTTAAATTCTTGCATATTTCATGATGGGGTATCATATAATATATGAGGGACCGCAGCAAATCAATGCTGCAAATTAAGATTTGGTTTAAAATGAGAAAATAGCTTATATACATTGGTGGGTTTCTTGTGCAATTATTTTTGTTTGTTTTACTTGAATGAATAAACAGCAAAGGGGGAGGGAGAGAAACAGACGAGGACTCCGCCCTCTATTCTTGGCCAAATCCTTCCGTTTCCTCGATGGCAAAGAGCAGCTTCTCTTTCAGCTGTTCAAAGCTTTTGTAGGGAGGCAAGTCCAGACGGTTAAAACTGAAAAGACCAAAAGTATAAAGAGTATCAGTATAAAGAAGCACAATGAAACATTTCCTGGTTATAAGACATGTTCCAAAGCCATGATTACATATTATCAGAGGGATATTAAAAACTTCTTTCATTAATTGTGATGCATGACGAAAGCTGCTATCAGTGTCTAACTTACTACTTATTACTTCCACTGTTTCCTCCTGCGTCCATTCATTATCTATTTGACTGATTGAATTATAGTTTACCTAATCTGTGTTAATCCTAGTAAATCTTGATATAATTAAATAACATCTGGGCAAAACTGTATGTGAGAGGAATCACAGGTAGCGAGCTTCACTCACCACGTGTGGCTCCGAGGAAGCCACGTGTCCTTCCCCACCTTCTCAATGCAGAACTTCTGGGGCCCGTTGCTTCCTGCAATGCAAATGAAAATGAGAGGTGAGAACGCAGCTGTCCGAGTCAGTTGTGCCAGATATTGTTATCGCATGTGAGATTACAGTAGGAAAAATCACAGGGAGCGAGTTGGCTCGTCGATGACAGAGCAAACTAATACAGTCTCAGGAAGAAAAAGAGGTGTCACCGCGCATAGACGACGCCAACGCGGATGTCAACTTGGAAAGACATTAAGATTCAAGTGCTTTCAGTGATTTGGGCCAACTGAACAAAAATGATTTCAGCAGCCGAATTTATGTCATGTCCTGCATACTGCAGGCTTTACCCATGTTCTGCACATTTCCCAGAAAATTGGGTCAAGACATTTCAACATTAGTTGAGGGAGAAAGAAGCTCAGACGTGGCTTAGAGTTGACTGACCGATGTCATTTAGATAAAGCTGGAGTTGTCTGAAAGTATGAGGAGTGCAGAGGTGACTGGAAAGGTGGAGAAGATAATAATGAGGCTCAAAAGAGGGAAAAACATGTCAGATAGAGAGAAATAAATGACTGCACATCAAGTCAAGAACGCTTTCCAGAATGTAGACGGAGACGTTTCTTCATCAACAAGCAAGAGAAAGATTTAATGATGGAGACCTCAGGATTCACCACAAAATACAAACCAGTGGTAAACCTCAAAAAGACCAGGCTGCAGTTCACAAATACAGAAAGAAAACAGCAGCTGTCAAAATGATGGACAGGGAAAAGAGAAAAAGGAGCAGCTCAAATATGGAGCTGGTTCTCTTCTGGCTCCAGTGGAGCTGACACACTTGTTCTTAGTGATGATTTCACTGCTGATGGAAACAACTGGATACAATAAGAGTTATACAGGAGAATATACTGTGGTCAGATTCAATCAAATGCATCACAACTCATTGGATGACATTTCATCATTCAGCAGAACAATGATCCTTAGTCAGACATCATTGACTGCAGAGGGTTTTAAACTAAATATTAAATTTAATGATTTAGTTTCACTTCATCTTTGTTTCCTCTGAACTTTTAACTCTGAGAAGCATGTGTGTAGAAAACTGTATCTCCAACACTGTTCTTTCTATATTGACAAAAATCTGATCAATTTAAAGCTGAGACTTGGCTGTTTAATGTAGTTTCTACTGTTCTAAACTGAAAGTGCAGAAGCTCAAAACATGTCTAACTGTGCACATACAGTCTGCACTGTGTATGTGTAAAATATATGGTGGAGTGGTTGCATGTTAATCTTTGTGTGTGTTTGTGTCACTGACCCATGAGTTCAGCGAAGCCACCCAGAGGAAGCCTGCAGGTTCCAGTGACAAACTGCATGAGCCGCAGTCGCACTTCATTGTCCACTTCTTTCACCAGCTGCAGAGAGGAAGGGATAACAAACACATTAAATGATGACCCCCACAATACTGACCAAACATCAAACACACACACCAGGACCCTGATCAACCTGAATACTGTTTGCATATTCTGCTCCTCTCTTAAGGAAAGTGTGTGTGATGCTGACTGTACCTGCCAGAACCAGATGATCTGTTTGCTATTCCTGGTGTAGTGACGATACACAGTGTTCCTCTGCCAGTCTTGAAGGTCCACCTCCTGCATACCACACAGCATCACCTGGACACACACACACAGACACACACACACACACACACACAGTACACACACATAGTAAAGTACTATGAAGACATGAAGAAAACAGGGCACACAAACAGAATCACAACAAGATTTGTCCCATATGCCTCCCTGATGCCTCTAACTGGGCCCTCCTACCTGACCTGAAAAACTATTTTCCACAGGGACACACCTGATACCCAGAACTGGCAGTCAGCCACATGTGTTGTTCTAGGTATAAGTACATCTACACAGAACAAAATGAGGCATGAACAAAATCTAAAATAGTTTTTTCTAATTTCAAAAATAAACTCAAGAAAAGATAAAATGGAGGAAATATAACACTGAGTTTAGGCTCTGCTGCCTGGTGATTAGTACTGACTGATGGTCTACAGACAAACTTAAGAACAGCACCTGTGAATCATAGATATTAACACTATTATTAGTTTGATCAGCTGCATCAGGTCAACAGTTAGTTGTGCTTCGTGCTCTCATCTAAGTTGTATATCCAGGAAGTTCACAGCAGCTGCCTTTTTAAATTCCATATGTTTTCATGGAGGCAGCTGAATAAAAAAGTGTGAAAATGCCCAAAGCCTAGATCGGTTTTATGGTTACAAGCTCTCCGTTTGCTTTTCAAAATGCCTTCATCTACAAGGCCTCTCAAGAATCCAATGGCTGATATCCTTCACAGCAAGAGAACCGTTATCCTCATTAAAATCCTAATGAAATAACTAGATTGATTAAAGCTCTGGGTAGATTATGTGGATTAAAATACACAGTGCCGCCCGCTCACCTCCAGCTCCTTTTCATCAAAGTACTGGAGCCACTGCAGTGGAACCACCTCATTGAAACCATCCAGGAAAGCTTTGGTTTGACCTTCAACCCCACGGGAGAACCTCCACTCTGCCATCAGACTGTGAAAAAAACAAAACAACTACTCAGTAAGACTGAGATTTAAAGGCCAAATATCACTGCTGTTACAGTTCATCTGTCTTTTTTTTTTTACTGAACCTGATATACTCCTCCTTGTTTTCCTCAGTGACAAGGACGTTGGTGCCGTCAGGTTTGAGGTCATGCGAGGAGATCTTTCCTAAAATCTCCATGTCCACTGAGAAGTACATCTCCAGACCACACTCCTCAATGTTGTTGTCCCTGAGGAGACATGAGATCATGTTGCTGTCACACCATGATAAGAGGGCAATTTATTAACGTGAGTTATGGGTCTGGGCTGTTTTAACAGTTGTTGCATTACGTTTTTATCTGCAGATATCTGAGTCACTCCCGCCTAGTTTCTCTGGTCTTTCATCCCCCTGTGGAACTGATGCTTGTGAGCTGCCTCTCATAGTTTTTTGTGGCTGGTGTGACAGCGTTTTCTCGGCCCACACTCGTCACTCCTAAAACCTTTTGACTTGAACTAACTACTTAAAAAAATTCTTGATGTTAGATGTTATATACTTGATTTACTTAATCCTTCCATTTCTGACAGGTATGTGGAAGAAGGTTCCTTCCTTTGATTCTCTTCCTGAGGTTTTTCCCTTTTTTGGCCTGCGGAAGGTGTTTTCTTTCCTCAAAACACATGTCAAATAACAGCGAGTGCTGTATAGTGTACAGCCTGTAAAACCCTGTGACATATATTTGAGATAAAACGTGAACACACAGACACTGGCATCAGTTCTTATTAATACAAACTCTCTAGACATCTTCCTCAGTGCCTTCTACGTGTGTGGCACCACTTTTCACCTGGAGATGTTTGTTTTCTTTTAGTATTTTTCATTTTTGCGTCTGTTGCGTGTTAGAAGCACCATAAACCACTCCACTCGCTTGCAGTGAATCCAGCAGGGGATCTTTCTCACATGCTTTATACCAGGGGCCAGGCGGAGAAAGTCTGCAGAAACTTCAGAGCCTCTCACTCAAACTTTTGCGTTCACACATGCACCTCCTCCGGAGAAAATACACAGAATCTGTGGATATCAGTGCATGTCTGAAAGCAGCTTAACTTAATTTTCTTAATTTCTTAATTTTATTGTAGACAAATTACCTGATCCATATGAGTGAGTTGTAGAACTCTGGGTCAATGGACTCAAGATCTTTGAGGATGAGCTTCTTGTTCAGCATGCGTTTGTAGAAAGGCAGCGAGAAACCTGTGTCGATGAACTTGCCATGGAAAAGTGCCTGCAGAAATAAACACAAGAGCATAAAGATATTTTACTGTGAATCTGAAAATAACAATAAATAATCAAATATGTAGATTCTCTGTATTTTGTGTTTGAAATAACATAAACCCATACATATGTTTTTACTTAATCTGTTTGTGTGTGTGAGTGTGTGTGTGGCCAGTATGTGAACTTGCCATTGCGATGAAGCGGCCTATGAAGCAGAAGTAGGAGAGGTGGTCTGGGTTGATAGCCGAGGCTGGGTTGATTTGCAGACAGTAGTTGCTCTTACCGGCGTACTCAAACAGACAGTACATGGGGTTCAGCACTTCATGGGACAACAAAAAGAACCACTCTCTGAAAAAATAGGTGCATGACAGATGGAGACAAGAAGGTAAAGATGAAAGAGAGAAAGACCAGGGTGTGGATTAGAACAAAAATAGAGGAGGAAAAGAAAGAGGGAAAATATGGAGGATGAAGGGAGAAGGCCAGAAGGAGCACATGATCAGTTACTGCTTACATTTTCCCAAAGGGTAATTTGCAATGAGTTTCACATTTAACTATTTGTTTTGTCTTAATTACCGGGCTAAGCCACCATAGTCGAGACCCTCCTCGCCTCTGAAGATGACATACAGTCTCCTCCTCAAGTCGTAAGGTTTGAGCGCCATAATCTACATGACACAAAATACACACTGTTAGTTAAAACATAAATTCTGCTAAAACACAGGCAAATAATTGTATGTATTTAAGTATTTATACATGCAATACATTATCAAAATTTGAATGAACAGATATACAGTCAGTGTGGGCAGCGTGCATTTAGCCTGTGAACCAAGTTAAACATGTCCTCTTGTTCTTCCTTGAAAATTTTCAGCAGTGGTCAGAAACTAGCGGCCTAATATTTGTCCCGCCAGATAATTTTAACAATTTGATTATTTAGATTTCACCATATTGGACTGAGACAGACATTCATGGGAGTCGCTGGTGCTAATCTCTGTCATGGCAGAAACTATCATAGAAACACTTCTTTAGCAATTTGTCTACAAAGTGCAATTACATTTTTTTGTTGCTGCAAAATATCAAGCTGAATTTTACCATACAAGTGAACAGTCATGAAGCAGATTCTGTTTCATCTAATGAAAAACATTGACTATAAAATCGTCATTGCAGCTAAAGCAGGTAGAGTGAGGTAGTTTTCCAATTTCACTTATAAACAGACTGTTTATAAAAAGCTCTACAGACAACATTCAACACACAAACAAAAAAAGTGACAGAAAAGCTTAGAAGTGTTTAAGGAGGATTCACTAATGACAACAAGTTTAGAATGGGCACTGCACTAGTTAGTTTAAATTACAACAGGAAGGTGATTGAGGGATCGTCTTACCTGCGTGAAAGAGTCTTCGAACAACGTCTGTCTGGAGACATTGATCTTCACATGGCTTGGGAGAGCATTGGACTGTACAATGACAAGAGGAAACATTAATGCATGCTGTGGCTGAAATTAAGAAATACATTGATGGAGTGGGAGAAAGAAAATCAATTACCTGGCACAAGTAGCGAAAATGGGCAAGCTTCCATCGGAAGCTGCGCTCATAAGCGATCTGAGGGCCTTTAGTGCTGAGATAGACAAAAAGATTTAAAGGTCAAGATTTGGTAGGTGCAAGCTGAGAGAAGTTTTTTTCTATAGACGTAAATCTTCACCATAAAATGGAAAAATGTGGCGCATATGGAATATGGTCTGGTATGTTTCCATGAAATACACATTTTCCTAACTGTCTGAGAAAACGTATTGATTTCCCTGAAAGCCTCTTTGTGACATACAAACTTAAAATGAAATATCAGTGGGCATATATTTTTCTGTACCGCACTTGACCTACATGAACATTGGCTAAATTAAAGCATCTGGTCCTAGTAAACATGTTTTATGTTCTACCTCACATGGCTGCAGCTCTACAGGCTATTGATCAAATACAACCCCTGTCACGGCTTATGATAACATGTAATGTAGAACACATGAACACGTAAAGAGATTTTCAACTGTGTTCTTACACAGAGGACTTTCCAGTGCGTGGGTCACTGAAAGTGGTGGTTCGGGTGTTGTGATCCACAAAGTAGCGCACCCCTTCCCTTGTGTATCGGATCTCCCAACCTTCAGGCAAAGGGTCCTCGTTCTGTAGCCTACACACACAAAAACATATGTGTTTAACTGTCCCATGTTGGACACTCATTGACATGATGTATGTCTTAGCCCCTCATTATTATGTTAACCATCACAAATAAATGTTTAATCTTAGCCAAACCCCTAATGTAAACATAAACGTAGACTAAAAAAATACTAGGTCTTAAAGGTACAGTGAGTAGAATTTAATGACATGTAGCGGTGAAGTTGCATGTTGCAGCTGAATACCCCTCACCTCATCCTCCCATTCCAAACCTTCAGTCATAAAAACGTTTTTTAGTTTCTTCAGTTTGGATGACTGTGAAAAACATGGTGGCCTCCATATAGAGGACCCCCCTCCAATGTAAATATAAAGTTTTTCAATATAAAGGGCCCATTCTAGCGTAAAGAAAACAACAATTCTTACGATTTAGATGAAACACATTAGTGAAAACATTTCTAGGGTTATTTTACATTTCTGCCAACAATCTTACACACTGGACCTTTAACCCTCAAAGGCCCTATTCTGACCTTGTATTAACATCCATCCTGAAAGATCCAATCACAAGTGGTCAGCAGTACACTCCTTGTATAGAAATGTGTCCTGAATGTGACCACTTCTGATCAGATCTCACTTCCCCGCTCTATATATAAATAAACGGGTCATTTATGTCAGCAAAAACCAACTGAGGCCGTGGCACTGACCAATTGTGATATGATCAGTCGGGGATGGACGTTAATACCAGATCCGAACAGGGTCAAAAAGCAGTCGATACGACATACGATCAGATTGTATTGATAGAGTGGCTCAAGTCCTCTGTGGGGCATAAAAACAAACGTATACCCGCTGACATGATACGATACAAGATAATTTATTAAGCCCTCAAGGTGGAAACTGAATGTCCCCTTACGGACTCAACGTACATGGACCTTTGTAATATCTGAACAATCTTGATCCCCTACTGAGATGCTAAACAGTTTTTGCTTTACCTTTTCTGCTTTGACTAGTCAAAATGTCTGTGTGCTGTGAAAAAGGTCTGTACTTGCTATAAAGGTTAGTCAACCCGGGGACACTTAAAAACAAACAACCAGCTGTGAACTTTGCCACTACAAAAACATTAGTAAAATACTTTGGAGGCAGCAGAGAATAAAAATCATTATTCTAGTCTACATAAATATTTGTTTTCAGCATTACCCTTGGGGTTGAGTGTCACAATAACTATGTTAGTATTTCTTCAAAAGAGAATGTGGACAAATCCAGTAGTAGTAGTTGTAGTTACTGATATGGATTTGAATATGCTTTGACAAAGCAAGACACAAGAGGGATTGTTAAAGAAATATCTTTTTAATCTGAATGTGGAGATAATCTGATAACAGTGACAGTGTTCTGCACATCTTGTTCTTGTAGATTAAATGTTACCATACATGATGTTTCACTGAAACTAGGTTATGTTGATCTGAATGTTTTATTCTACAGCTTAGTAAAATTGTTGAGCAATTACTGTTCGTGACAGTTAATAATGTGAGGATCCTGAGACTACTGCTCACTCTCATTAATACAGACTTACAAAAAAAATACTGCGCCAACCCATTGAATAGGTATGTTTTTGCGCCTTCAATATTTTCAGTCAGAACATCCTGGTTCTGGTTCATGCTGGTCTAAGCAGGGGATCTTGACTTTTAAAAGTAAACATTGGCACACCAGGTTGATGGTGCAGGATGTTCAAAATTCTTTAAACTTTAATGACTCATTTTATTTTCCTGTTTAATTCCATTAAATGAACAATATGTTAGTCATCTTACTGCACTCACAAAATATACATACAATTTTGTGAATTTTAAAATGTGTGTGTTTCCATCCTTTCTATTTTGGTTGGTTTGAGCTCACCCTTGGGTTCGGGGGTCTTCCCACTGCGTTGTCTTGGTGTTATGGTTCACAAAGTACACTCGGTCATTAGAGTCCACGCGTCTCTCTGAGAAAAAACGCACAGGAATCATGGGGTTAACAGACAGAATGGACATTGTGCTCCACTATGTGGCAACACATGTCAGCTTATCATGACAAGATGCCATCTGTAATCAGCAGTCACAGCTAAGAGAAGGATTTACAGCGCAGGAGGTTGAGAAAAGTGCAAGAGACAAAACATTATCACAAAGTATTTATACTTCCAATGTACTGACACATCTCTGTCCTTTGCTTACCTACTTCAAGTACAGTACAAACTGACACACACGTGAAAATGTGAATCAGGTTTAGAAAAGAGGACGTGAACTCACCCCAACCAGGAGGTAGCGGGCCAAGAGGATCATTCTCAGCAGACATCATGGATGCCTGGAAATGAGGGATAAACAAATAGACCTCCATTCAGAAAACACCAGGAAAGGAGGACAAAAATATTCTAAATGTGTGGGATGTAAAAGAACTTTTAAAAAATGTATATATATATATATATATATAAAAGTATATTCCTCTACAGGAAAAGTTGATATTTTCCTGAAAGAGAAACAAAAAAGAATCAAAAAATTGTGTTTTGATGTGCTGGCAAAAAGGTCTCTGTGACTGGTTACTGCTCAATACTTCCCAGCTGCCTGACTTTTGATTTGTTTTGTAAGCTAATCTTCATCAATGAAGATGACATCACTGCTCAGATCAAAGATGTGGGAGAGGGACCCTCACAAGGAGAAGCAGACTAAGGCCTGTGGATATTTTAAGTCCAGGAAGGACAAAGATCTCACATTTGGTCTAAATGAGTTGAGCTAGATGCCAAACAGAGAAATGAGTGAGTGAGGGGTGCAGAAGCTGGTCCTACGATTTCCAGGCTCATCAAAATAAAATGACAACTAGTTTCTGACCTGGAACTTTGAATATCACACTACATGACATTTCTCATGGCAAATATTCATAATTTAAACTCTTTAAAAAGTCATATAAGACATTTCAGAGTGCTAGATACATGCAACAGAGTTCTGGATTGTAATAATACAACCAAAATCTTAAACATTACAAATACATTGAGAAAGAAATGTGAACAATGGCATCACAGACCAACAGAAACTAAATTATCTTTTTAAAAGTGGTTTCAGTCACTGCACTGATCTTTATCTTCTGTTGTATTGGGTCGAGTATTGTTGAATGGTCTTTAAAATACACATTTAAAGGAGATGAGCTGATAAATACTGGAAAGATTCAGTGTGGTCAGGTGAATAGTAATGTATAGGGTTCAGAAAAAACCTTGAAGTTTGTAGATTGTCAGTAGGATACACAGGCCATGTTGCTTGTTTTGTATGTACTAGTGTGTCCCCTCTTGTATATTAAAGGGTGTTTCCATCACTTGAATATAAGTGAAAGTAATGTTAATGTGTACGTGACATGTGGATGGTTTTGCAGAAGAAAAAAAAGTAAGTGTGATGACAAACTCAGTTATTATAATATAAATTGAAGCTGTATATTAAAGGTGAAAATAAAACAAAAAGAGTGAATGAGGGGACATTGGTATGGTGAGTAAAGACTTACAGAGTAGAGGTATCGCTGGTTGAACTGGTGCATAGCTCCCTGCAGTTGGCTGCGTTGGCTCTGCCACTGCTCAAAGTTGCGGACTGACTCCATGGTGGGACGCTGCCACGTGGTGGTGCGGGTGTTGTGGTCCACATAATAGATTCGCCCCCGATCATCCACTCGTCGCTCCCAACTGTCCCAGTGAAGGAGGACGACAATTAATAAAGACACACACAAATACAGGCTTGTAAGCAGGTGGCCAGGAGAGTCAAAGGTACATTTTACCCAGGTTTAAAAAAAATTCTGTTGTTATTTCAACCTCACATTGATTTATGGGCCATTCAATTCCAAATACATAAAAGAAGCTGTGGGAACTACTAGCAAATGGACGCCATTTAATTAAGAAACCAGATCACTAAACTAAAACTTACCTCAAACTAGACTAGTTGTCACATTATCAGATTTTTATTTAATAAATACTCTGGCCAAAGAAATTCATGATCATATTATCACAGTATGTATAGAAAGTTTTGATAATAATAATAATACTAAATACTTCTTCATCTTTGTTTATTGTGTACAACTAACTATTACAGTATACTACAATAAACAATGCCTACTAGGGTTGAGCAGCTAGGCCATGATCTTTGTGATATATGATGTTCAGAATGATTAACGATGGAGCAACTTTCCATGAATATAAATTATTATTATTTGTAGTAGTAGCATTCAATTAAAATTAAATTAAATTTGACCTGCTTTAGTTTCACACCTGCATCTCCCACAAAAAGTACTTGCAACACCACATGCGTAAGCACACACGCCACTTTGACTGCCCCATTAGTGTGTCAGTGTCCTGCTGATACAGCAACGGAGTGGGGGAGGTTGGGGCAAGCAGAAGATGCGAGTTTACATTAGTCAGCTTAATGTTGGTGGTAAATAAAACTTTCCGCCTGAATTCTAAGTTGATGGATTGTAAGCAAGAGAGTGAGAGACAGAGAAACTTTGTAAATAACCTACAGTATACTTAGAATTAATAGAATAATAAACACTGTGTCCTTAAAGGTTACTATACAATTATACTGGACAACTTTCAGTTTCTTAAATATGTCTTAATCTGTTGAGACAGAAAAAATTTAAACTATCTAACAATACCATTGGCCTACAACAATTTATATTTAGCTGCATACACGGCAGAAAGCCATCTTGTATGAAGCAGCTGTTCAGGTGACCATAAATGTATGTATGTATGTATGGAGGCAATAAGCGAGAGATGAACCTGGTAAAGTTATAGCTTCTTGTCAAAGGTGCCAAAGGCAAAGAGTGAGGTAAGGCCAGATACTAACCCTGGTGGTAGTGGCTGTGGTCTCTCCCAAGTAGTCGTCCTGGTGTTGTGGTCTACATAGTACGTTCTCCCATGTGGGTCTTTCCTCTGCTCCCATCTAAAAGATACAAGTGTTTGATACTTAAATGTCACTTTAAGGTAAATACATCATAATTTTAAATTCAAGTGATATTTAACATGAAACTGGTGGTGGTCATCTTTACCCTGGTGGTAGAGGATCTGGTGCTCCAGCATTGGGGGCCTGTTGTCTGGGCTTGGCCCCATCTGGAGTTACAGTGGCACTGCTACTAGTGCTACCATCACCAGCTCCTGAAGCATTTGTTTCTCCCAGTGCTGGGGAGGGAGAGGAAGATGATGAGGTGGCCGCAGTGGTGGTGGCAGCCCCCGGGGCTGAGGGGGTCACTGTGGAGGGAGCAGCAACAGCAGTGCTATCAGGAGGTTTAGCAGCAGAAGAGGAGGCTGGAGCCTGCGTGGAGGGTGGCTGAGGCTGAGATGTGCTGTCTGGTGGTGGGACAGAATCTGGCGGGACAGCATCTTGACTGCAGTCCTCGTGGTCGTCTGCACGAGACAGCACATCGCCCGTTGAAGCAGATGATGGCCCAAAAGCCACGTCACAGGACTCCCCGTTGACTGCAAGGCAATTCAGACGAGACAATGGTGCGGTTTGAAAGCATGGAATAAACTCTTTCTAAGTCCATCACTTGATGGCTGTGATGTCTCTATCTTACGTATGACTGACTGCACAACAAGTCTAGTAGTCTTGGAATCTACATACATGTGTGTACAAATGCATCTGGATTATAGCATCTAGCTTATCAGCAGGTATTACTCACACATTCACAGAAGCAGCTTTTAAATTCACTACATTCATAAGCACATAGCTGATAATAGAGAATAGACTAAATGTTGTCTGGAGCTAAAACAGCAACAAAAAGTATCACGTCTTTGTTTTGTGAGGAGAAACATTTGAGACTAAAAGAAGCGAGTCAGACTGTTACCAGTGTACAACGAGGAGAATCTTGGACTGAATATTTTCACTGTTTACACTGGAAGCCCCAAAATGTTGCCCATTGCTCCCAGAGGCTTATTCCTCAACAGACAATAGCTGATGGGCTTAGAGATTGATCAGCAAGTTTGAGCTATTGTCTAAAAAAAAAGTGCATGTGAGTACAAGTCCTGGTCTCTGCACCAAAAGTCAGCCTATAAAACTCTCTGTGCTCAATGCAGCAAACTGCTTTTGACCCAGTGGATGTTTTAATTTGAAATTCAAACTGGACATTCAAATGCCAATATTCTTGAAAATACCATGAAATCAAATTATCTGATGTCTTGTGTCTGGAAGTATTTTACATTCATGACAAATGTGACCCATCTTCAGCATTATGAATAACGCATTCATATTCTTCAGCCAAACTCAGCTTAGTGTTATCAGTGTGCTCTGCCTGTCCTCCTCAGCACACTGCACTTGGCTTATTTTCTCTCTGCTTTCTTTCTGTCTATCCCTCCAGGGAGTTTTCCACAGAGGTGCTGACAGCAGCAGAGATTACAGGCCCAATTTAATGAAAATTAATCTACTGTTCTTCTCTACTGCTCTGTGCATTGACTGAGTGAACCGTGAAGCACCCTGCCCAGGCAATGCAATAACTACCAGCTGAAAATATGCACGTCTATGACCGAGCTGCTCCGATAGTGATCATCAGAACTTTATTGTATACATTCAGTAAGTATTTTGTCCAGTTCTTAAGTGAATCATATTCAGTGATATCATCAGTCTGACAGCAATCATAGTCATAAATGCAAAAAACACAATAAAGCAAATGTGGAAAGTTAAATAACGGTAATTCACACTTACCCGTCCTACTGTCTGTGTCACTGTCTGAGGGCTGGTGGACTGGGGTGGAGTTGGGTGTGGTGTCTCCATTGACAATGTGACCATGGGCCGGGCTGCAGGAGGTAGAAGGCAGCGGAGCATCCACACCATTGAAGGCCGAACAAGAATCTGACCTTGGGTCCAAGTCTGTACCATTCACTGTGCTTTAGGCAAGAGAACACAACCATTCATTACCTCTATATTTTACTTGATATAATCTATATGCATTAAGTTTTACAAAAACAATGACGTACATTTTTAAAATAAAACTATAATTATGAAGTCCCAATATCATGGATATCAGTGCTGCCATGTTGAGCTGGTGATGCAATTTGGAGAATCTGACCAAGGTCATGCTGCTTTCACAATTGGAATTTGGATGCAACTGTACTATAGCCCCCTTTTGATGGAAATATTATAGAAGCAATTAGCAGCTCTCTCAATGTGATCAGCTGGCAATGACATGTACTGTGTACACCATACATTTTGGGAAAGTTCAATGGTAACAAAACAGGATAATACCCCTTTAGAAAGGGGCTCCCCACTTGACCGTGTGACTAACTGTACAAACACAAGCTCAAAAGGAATGGAAGAAAAGAAAGGAGGGAAATTCAACAAAGCAAAACAGATCAAGATGAGCAATGTGAGAAAGACCAAGGAGTTAAGATTTCAGAAGAGAAAAATAAACTGAGGGAGGCAGGTTTAAAGGGATGAATGGAAAAGATTAACTTTAACAACTTGTTATCGCACCATCAATCGTTTTCTCCTCTGCCTTCACATTTGCAGCAGAATTAGAACTTGTTTTTTTTTAATCAGACAACACTGTAGGCTGCTGAAGGATGCCGAACTGTAAAAGTAAGAGCCAGGTTTCACTACTTTTGCAAGACGTTTTTTATTTTATTTGCTTATGCTGCAGGCATTGTCAGTCAAATCTGATCAAACCACAACCCCACAGTCCAGATGGAAAGGATAAACTGGGTTTCATTGTGTTGAACTTGGAAAAAATATCTAACAATGTGTCTTTTTTGCTTCAAAACCTCTTCTTCATTTTTTCATAAATATTTAATATTGTAGAGGATGAAAGAGTAGTAAACTAATGTAGAACCTTTTTGTATTTTGAATGCAGACTAATGCAGGTTTTTTTTTCCATTAATTGATGTATGGTTTGCATTTGTGCTCTGCCATTTTTTGCAGTAATAATATTTGATTCAGCATTTTTTAACTTTACCAACTGTGATGTAAAATGTAATCTAAAAGATTAACTTATGACTGACCTCAATGGTCTGATTTAATTTCAGTTTTTATTGTTACATATTAAATATGTATTTTTGCTTTTCTCCTTATTTGTGTTTGATCTAGCTCTTATTTTAAAATGTTCAAGGGATGTACTGAAATATTAAGGGGACTCAAGCGAGGGGAGACACTAAGTTTTAAATACTTCCCTGCTCGTGTCTTGCAGTCCTCTCAGCAACGGCAATGCGGAGGTAAGGCACCCACAAACATCTTAATCCCTCCTCCCCACCAACCTCTCATCTGATGCTACGAGCAGACGTGCCTCCTTTGTGGCTTTCCAATAAAAATCCCGTTAGCCTCATTGAAGGGCACTTTGAAAGTGTGACTGATAACAGAATAAAGCCTCACGAATATGAGCAGGGGGATAAAACAGATTGAGAAGACACAGAGAGACAAAAGTCAGACCTCTGTGATGTTCAAAAAAGTTTAAACGTTTTTTTTTTTTAATGAGATGAACAACTAAAGAAAATAAGTATCATAAACTGACCTTCACATAATCCTATAGGGCACATTTTAAGACAATAATGCAAACACACAACACTTGCCGGCCTGTTGGGATTCTGCTATTTAAATAAAATGTCACAAAATCTGTGGTTCATTTAGTTTGTTTACCTGTTAGCAGCCCTTGAGGAAGAGGACGATGAGTCTCCATTTTCATGGATGGCATCACCATTCTGCTGGACTTCTGGGAAGAATTGGAAAAACAATGTACAATTTCTACAGTATTTGTATTAGTGTGAGGTTTTATTTGGCATTTCACACTTCTAATTTATCTTGTTTCCCCACTGACTGTCATTCACTAGCTACATATGGTACACAAAAAAAGAGAATCCCAACCAATTCGAAACATAATTATTGATCTCACTGGTGCCATTTGCAGCATTGCCATTGGTAAGCTGTGCTGGTTCCTCCTGGTCGGTAATGGTCAGTCCATCTAGGTAGACAGTCAGCTCCCCAGCAGGCACAAACACTCCCTTCTGCTCCACACTCAGCTTCAGCACCTCCTTCACATTCTCCACTGCAGAGCCAAAGCAGAGATGTCATGGGAGGAGGAATTATAATGTGAATGGCACAATCAAGAAAAGCACAAAGCCAACCATTAGAATATGTGTTATGTTCATAAAAGAATAAAATCACACTTATCTGCAGTGTTTGATATCAGACAACAAACTGGCTACTAACTTTCGTTGATTAATAGTGCTACTACTTTTAATCAACCAGAGGCCAAACAAGCAAACCAAATCTTGTGCGCCATCTTTATCTTGGAGACTAATATGATCTGACATTTCCAAGAATTGTATTCTATTTAATCTACAATGTTTATTGTCTTTGTACTATAGTATCACATCATTGGAATACATGATAACAATGTACAAAGACCCAAGTACCAAAAAGAAACAAAAGGTTCAGAATGTATGGCCCTGATGTTGACAAGTCTAATCAAATCATATCTTAATGGATTCTATTAAAATACAGTTTAGTATATCTGATATTTGATGTATTCATCATACATTTTCTGTCATGCTGCTCCAGTGCTTGCATTAAGTCCAGTGTGGCTTTGCCCAGCAGAGCATCTGCTTTCAGGGTGTTGTGACTCCATACTTTGAAATCCACCTTTGTGTGCGGTGTTACACTCCTAGATGGTCAGAAACACACAAACAAACAGCATTATTGTCAATATTTCTATCAGATTCTTTTTTGAATAGAATATATGAATAGAATATACAAGTTTCGTAGCATCTATGCTTCTTGTTCTTCTCAAACCCATTTGAATCATATGGTCAAAACAACAAAACAAGTTCAATACCAAGTATATAGCTGGACTGTGTAAAGTTGGCATTTCAGTCATAGCTCAGATCCTTCCGCAACACAGTGTGTCTGTACTGTGACGATAGCCGGTGTTAACTCAGCATTAACACAGGTAGTTTCTGCTTTAGCTGTGCATGTACCTGTGACAGGCATGCATTTCTCAGATGGTAAACACCTGACAACCAGAGGTCAACAGAAACCAGCTGAACTCATTACGAATGTGACAGTAATTGTTCACTACAAATCATTTTGAAAAAGCACCAAACACTAAGAAAAGTGTGAGTGTATCTATATTTGCAGGAACCAATTAAGGTTCAAAGCCATTGAATGGTCTCTTTGAAGACAGTCAGGAGACAGAGACACTTACTCAAGTGTTTGTAGGGCTGTCTCCACTGTTACAGCCAAAACAATGTAACAAAACAACAATTTAAATGAGGCTCATACTTTCAATTTCTCTGTTTTCTAACCTTTGTTCCACTTCCAAAAAAATCTCACAAGAGTAACTTGTCCTTGCTACAGGTTGAGCGACTGATCACTCTGCTCACACAAAGCTGCCTCTTTGTGTTTTCTGTACCCTCTCACAAAATGAACACTACACAGGCAGAGTCACAGTATTAATGGTTAAGCACATCAGCCCAGAGAGAAGCAGCTAGGATTACAGCCTAAACCTGGTTTAGGCCCCAGTATACAAAAGATTCACAGAGCGAAGTTAAGTCCATGAAGAAAGCAGCACTCTGGCTCAACAATAATTACCCAATCAAGACAATTAGCATTTACAAGGAAATGTCTTTGGCATTTGGCAGACATTCAGAAGTCAAAGAGCTGCAAATGGCTGCTATGTTCAGGCTGCAGGCTCAAATAGTGTCTCAAATGACACAAAGATCTCTGTGTGTTGTTGTACAGCATTTTTCCTTGTTCTAATAATTATCAGATGAGCCGCCCGAGGGATTTTCTGGTCATATTAAGAATTTCAAAAAACGACATTTTTAAAACTTGTTTCAAAAGCCTTCTGTTTGTTGCATACAGTATGCAGTTCATTTTCTGACTCAAAGCGCTCCCCGGAAAGAGGAAAGAACTGTTGCTCTTTTTCCCCTCTCAATTGCTTTTTACATGAAAGCAGACAATTTAGGATTCCAAACTTTTTCCAAGGAAAATTCTATTTAGATGGATTATGAGAGGATGGATTGTGGTACTGTGGATTCACATTGTGCCTAATTTTATCTTTGCTAAATAATAAAGGTTGGTTAAAGAGGTTTCATTAGTTAGTCTCCATTATTCAGTTCTGGAGCACAATGCTATCATGGACAACTATATTTAAAGTAAATAACACACTAGATGTGTTTTACATATGAAGCCTCTCTCAGCAGGTAACTGGAAGCGCTCCATTTAGTGCGGGAGAGGGGTGATGTCTGTGTAGAGCATGCAGGAAGCAGCACTCAGCCGCTCTCTGTGAAATCACACCTTCACATACTGTCTCAATCATGCATGACCAACTGTATATTATGGAACTGGCAAGGTTAAGTCTGGTGTCCGTTTAATATGATTTGGACATTACACACATACAGCTGTTTCAAGTAAAGCAGCTCCTGACACACACAGATTCACAGAGTAGGAAAATTGCTGCATCTTACAGAGTGAGCCTCTCATCCCATTTAGGACTGGAGGAGCTGTGAGACTTCACCGTACGGCGCGACTCCCCCTCCGCTGTCACCTCCACATAAATGGCAGTCCCAAACAGACTCTTCTTCCTCTTGATCTTGGCACAGGAAACTGGGAGTACAAGAGGGAGGCAAAGAAACAAGTGGAGATCTTTACTTAAATATTTTCACTATAAAGCCAACAGGTTTCCAGTCATTAAAAATATGATATATTTTTAAAACCTTTTTGAAGAAAAAATCATTTTCACACAGTAAGTCTGTTGACATGGTGCGTCAGTAAGCTCTGAGGGAGTTATACGCTTTAGAAACTCTGGCCATGCCGTTATCACACATCACAGCCTGCTGTGTTTGGACTCACCAATGGCATGAAGCTGTGACGTTCCTCTGTGGTTATGGCTAGACTCTGCTCTGGATGAGGCTGTGGCCATGTCATACACCACAGTGGGAAACCTTCAGAAAACAAACACATGATCCGACAGAAAAAGAAAGTCAACTCAAGTCTCATTTTATTTTCAAAGCATGCTGAAAAAATTCAAGTTCAACAAAGGGCTGTGCAATCAAAATAGGAATAACTTGTTTAAAAGACAAAAAATGCAATAATAATAGAAGCAATAAGACGACAATTATGTAAAAAGCAACACTCATATGAATGAGAAGCCAAAGGAATACAGAAGAGTAAGAGCAAGGTACGACCACCTGTGATAAGAGCCAGAGCTGGATTAAACTGGGTTTAATAACCAATTTCATCAATTTGATCAATCTAAAATCACTACCCGATATCATACTCAGATGTTGAAGGTGGTACATAGGTCCATCAAAGGCACCACCAAATATCAGGATGTCAGTTTAACTAATTAAAATAACAACATTTAAAGTCATCCAAGCATTGATGTATTTTTGATTCAAAAGGCAAGCCCATCCCAAACAGTGGAACGAGACGCCATTCTCTAAGGAAAGCTTTTAAAGAGAACCCTGAGGGACTCCACAAGGGAGAGGCCCTAAGGACACAGTCACCGATGCTGACAAAAAAATGTCTGGTAGACAAGTAAGACCTGATTCTCTCTAGTGGTGCCTTTCACCTTAACACAGTGCTCTAGGCGAGGTGAGGATCATATGTTTTACTGTGACGAATGCAGCTGTGAGATTTAAAAGCTTAAGAATGGTAAAAGCCTTTGAGAGGCTTGCTAATAAAATATCAAGTCTTTTGAAAGTTCACTGGAACACCTGAAGAATCCATGCATGTTTTAAAAAGATGCATTCCAATTGTCAGTAAACTTCAAACACAGGGCACATAGCCAGCACATTCACAAATAAGAAACAGGTGAACTCTACAGGGTTTGAGTACAGTTGAGAAGTCTGAGGACTTGATTGCAACTGCTGTTTGAGCTTCATCCTTAATACTGTAATAATGACAGTGATATGTCTGTATATTGTCTGTCCTTTTTACAAGTGATGTAGGGCTGGCCACTAAAACTAACTAAAACACTGCTGGCCCCATTTCAGTTTTAAAACTCTACTGTTTTAGTCTAAATAGGCAGAAACTGAGAGTCAATGATGAAATGATGATGCAGTCACCCACAGTTGTTGACTGATTAGATCTTATCTTAACTACCAGCAGTGAATGAAAACAGTCCTAGCACTTACTGTCAGAAACAGTTCCACCTCTTTGTCCAAGGAGAGAAAACCCTGCTTTTACTTTTCGCCATTTGCGTTCCTTGTTAGTAGCATTTTCAACTAAGCAACCAACTGCAAATAGACAATCTGCTTCCTGTTTACACTGTCATACGTAGGGAGGGAGAGAGAGAGAGAGAGTGGGGGGGGAGAGAGAGAGAGAGAGAGCCTTTGAAAAAAACCTACAGTAAACTTGGCATGAGTAGAATCATAAACCCTGAGTGTCCTTAGAAAACACCAATATACTTCATTGGACTTCTGGCACAGTGGCTATATTAATTTATCAATACACTTTATTATGTGATGTGAATTGCTTTCATATGCTCCAATCATTTAAAACACTACGTTACAGATCTTTTTGAGAAGTACAAAACATTGGATCATTATGAAACTGTGACAGAACATGTTAAACCATGGCAGTCATGACAATGTAGGTAGGAAATGAATGGAAAACACTGTGGAGGCCTTTTGATCTGTTCATTCTGTTACTCTGCAGGTGTGTGATGATGTGTGAATCCTCAAGTTCTATTGTTTATGTTGAGAAATGTAAGGGTAAAAATTAACCCATAAATTATAATAACATTTTCAACAGACACTCTAAATAGAAAATTTTAATCTGGTCGACTAACAGACATCAGCTATTTGTGAGAATTTTTTCTAATTACTTAACACACGTAATATTTACCAGTACTCTAAATCATTTTGTAATATATGAATACTTCATTAACATAATGCTGGGGGAAAAATTATGTATACTTACAACTGGTGTGTGCTGCTAGACCCTCTGGTTCAGCCTACTCCGTGTCCCATGGTTCCTCTGAAACAGAAAAGGAGCTCACTTTTAGAAAAAGCAGGCACAACAAGGACCTAACAGCGATTTGTTCATACAGTAGGGCTGTCAAAATTGCTCCAAAATGACGTTTGAATATTCGCTCTAAAAAAACACATATATTCGAACCATTCGAATATATGCGCATGCACAATGTGCATTATGTCAATAACAGGAGGACAAACTAATACAACGAGACATAACTACTTGTATAGGTATTTTTATCTCAGTTTTAACATAAAACATACCTACACATTACAAAATAAGTAAATGAACTAACCGTAAAACTTAGACTGTAAAAAAAGACTGCTCCGTTGCTCGCCCCCCCTCTCTCTCTATGCGCGATGAGCATACTGATTTAAATAAACAATCTGTTAATAACGGTCGGTAATAACCATAGCCTGTAAAGGTAATAACAGGTCTCTGTGGGTGATGTGAGCTGAAGGTAGTGGGAATGTATGTTGCGAGTTTAGGGGGCACGTCAGCCAGAGCTGTAGTGGGTGTGTATGTGAGTGAGTGAGTGAGTGAGACTGCTGCCTGCTGAACAGCGGGTCGCAGGAAGAAGGATCTGAAGTGCCCGTGTTTCGGCTACAAAACTCCGCCGAACCGATCCGAAACCAGCCCAAATTTGTATCCACCCGCCTGGAAACCCTGTTCACGTCTCACTTTCAGCAGTGAGTGACGCTGTGCAAGTGCAACTCCTGCGGCCTGACATGTCATGCAATGCGCCCACTCGCAAAACAGCCGCTGATGTGTTTTTTTCCAAAGTCGAATATTAATTTTCACAATCGAATATTCGTTTTGTTTAAATATTCGAATATATATTCGAATTTAGAATATTCGTTGACAGCTCTATCATACAGTCATTTTTGTAAATGTTGATCTAGCAGATCAGCTTGGGGCATCCCTAATTGGACTAATTAAATGTGCCTTACACGCACTCAAAATGACTAGTGGAAGAGTGAGACATATATTCAAGAGCCTCATGAAATACATGAATTGAAAAAAGACAAAACTGAAAATTGTAAATTTGCCAGAAGTAAAATCATAAGTCAGAGTTCCAGGGTGATGACAACGAAGTTACACAGTCACTTAATCAGAAAGTTCTGATTTAATGCAATCTTCATGATCTTTGAACTGCCAGCACAGTAGAAGAGGCCCACCAGAGCCTTAGATATTTTAACTCCCTGTGCATTTGTCTAGTACTGCATTGCAGTTGGTCAAACAACTAAAACCTTGCTATCCTCCTCCAAAATATCTTATGAAGACAACCGACAACGTAGAAAGATTGGATGTGACAAGTTAATGGATGAAGTACTTCTGGACAGTTCACCATGATCACCACATGATTCATCCACCACTCTTTACAAATGATGGTATCCATTTAATAGGATAATACAGACAACATGTTTAATTGCACAAGCTCCTACAACTTCTGTCCACTGGGAAAGAAATCCTAACAGCAGCATGATCATTGCAAGTCTTCAATATTTACTGCATGTGAATGACCGCACAATGGGGTCCGGACTTTCTCGAGTTTGAATTTCACATAGGAACAATGCATTTTCAGATTCTTTCACACATGCACAGCGCAGCGGGAGGTTCTCTGCTCAAATGCGTTCACAACAGCAACACATTCTCCGTAGGATTCAGATGAGGTGGTGGTGGAGGTGGTGCAGCAGCAGGCAGGGTGTAACATATTAATTGATTAAAAAATAATCGTAAGTGCAGCCCTAAACATAACGCATATTCCGATGAGAAATAGCAGCTAGTAACAGTGATAATGCTAAATCAAGCTATTCACAAAGCAATAGCTCGACAGGCAGGGAGACGTGACCTGTATGCACCCAAAATGATCAACTGGCCAACACGGGTTCAACCTCATGTCACTGCACTGATTGTGGTTGAAACACTAGCATGTATGAAAATCCTGCTTTCTGTTTATTAAGTCATCATTCTGCTTCTCGATCGTCTGTAATGGATATCCTACTTGAAACTCTAAACATATGTTTAGAATATACATTAATCAGAGTTATTAGACAGCAGGAAAGAATTTGGCCTGCAGTCTGAGAGTAGTTATGCAACGCAGCGTGAAACAGAATACATCAAAGTATTTCTTTTTTATAGGTCCTTATGAGTTATTTCAGTAAAATAATCAAGCTTTTCCACTACTTTATTTTTTACATAATTCATCTTCACACAGAACTTACTGAATTCCTGTCAGTTGAGTGTAAGTGAATATCATATCGATTCATATTCGATGGTCACATGAAAAATAAATGAAAGTACACAAAAAGACTATTAAACAGATAGAAAATGAGGCAAATGTGCGCTTCTTTTGCAGAAATTACAAGTCTATGGTGTCAGTAAATTTTTAGTTAGATATTCTTTTAAAAACAACAATAAGTTTAATGTGGATGAACTCTACATTGTATATTCACTGTCTTGAAAATACACTGTTAAATCTAAAACCACACTCAAATACACAGTTGAGTATCTACACAAACTTCTTTCATAAGTAACAGCCATTTGCTCTGCATTTATATCATACTTTTGTCATTTTTATTATGGTCGGTTGAGCCTGAAGGACACAGATGTGATCACCATGTGCTGTCTCCAGTGGCAAAGAAGAAAAAGGAACACTGGATTGTTATCATAAAACTGTTAGACAGCTTTTCGATTGCAACTATTTAAGTCAATCATAGTCATACATTTAATACCTTTAATAGTTTTATGAATGCAATATTTGACGTAAATTCAAATAAACTGTTGCTTGTGGAGTAGTAATAACTAGTTTTTGATATATAAAACAGTTTAGACTAAATATACTTCACAGTAAAAGCTCAGTATCAAATTCTTCAATGGACCAAACGTTCCATAGAGATCAGCAGATTTTTTGGGACATTTGCTTAAAACCAATGCAGGACATTCAATGAGAAACTAGATCTGCACACTGAGTGCTTGTGCAGGCCCCTATGAGACATCATTTAAGTGAGATGTTGTAACATCCGAGAATATCTCGTGTATACTGTAGATCACATCGCTAGCTGATTAGCAACACAGCATAGCAATTAACCATGCTTCTTAGCCTTAGTTAACGAAGTAGCATCAAGCTAGCAAGGTGTGTTTCAGAAATGAGTCTTCATTCGGCCAAGCTCAGCTCCACTCACTCTCTACCTCTATGCCCATATTTCAAATATGCAAAAATGTAGGCACTCACTTTGAACTTCAAAATTTCTCTTTGGGAATCTGTTGGTTATGTCACAGACGCTATGTCCGTCTATGCTATCTAAACTTAGATAATGACATGTAGGGAGCTGATCGCTCAGTCAAGGTTTAGAAAAATATGGTTCAAACTCACATTTTTTAAGATATCAAAAAAAAAATTGAGGGCTAAAGAGAGAATCCAAAGCTTACATAATTATTCCACATTATTTTATGTCACATGATAAGTGATGTAATGAGAAAGTCACAGTGAATTTAGAAAATTACAGCATGCATAGTTAAAACAGGGTTTGAACTGCCCCTCTGATACTATATATTTTCTATATAGTTCTGTTAAATTTGAAAATGATATATAAAGATAACAGGGTCTCTTCCAGATTCTGTCATCTACTTTTCCTAATATTTAGGTTTTTGCCTTGACATTGTTTCAGTATTGTGTAAAAATGTTTAAGAAGGTCGAAAGAAAGAAATATTATTAGGGTCCTCCAGTTTCCTAACACACACAACTAGGCCTATACACATAGTATCAGGGTTCCCCACTTTGGAATACAGCTGATGAGGCTATGTCATCGCTTACATGAACAGGATTGAAGTCACTTTTCAAGCATACACCACAAATCCTTAAAATGGGGGAAAAAAAACACAGAAAAAAAACAAGTCATAGTCTCAATAAATGTTATAGTAGCAGGTATCAGGAGAAGGTTTTCATCAGTCCATTTAGACCACAAAGAGTTTCACTGCTGCAAATTTATAACTGCACAGTCCTCAGTAAAGAGACAGCGATTGTGCCTTTAAATGTCCCCGTATAAAGGGAAATCTATTAACAGTTTGTCACCAAGCTCTTTACCTAGGTTTTTGATTCACACTACTATTCCTTATGTTGGCATGACACACCAGTTTCACACAGTGGTGACAGGCTCTTTCTCCTTGCTGTCAAAAGGTGAAAGCAAAAATATTGAAGAGCCATCCAGCAAGAGTTTTTTCTTAAGTGACAGCTTCTTGTTTGCATCTACCTACCAGGGTGACAACAAACTAAACACTATGACAACCAGGATGCTAACTCATGGTCCTAAAATACAATAGCCAGGAGTGTACAGAAAACCCTCCTCAGCCACTGAAATAAATGTTTCACCATTTTGTTTCCCATACCCACAAAAGTTGAATGGAGACAACCTTTATTGAAAGTGATTCCCATCAGGTATTAACGGAAGCTGGGCTCAGACTGCAGGAATTTCAGGCTGATTTAACCATTGACTAGGTTGCCCTGAGAATCAAAGGAGGATCCTTGTTTGCTACTGCTGTAGGTTACAGAGCTGTTCTTGGCTCTCAACAGCCCACAGAATCATAGGGGCTGCCCTGATAATCATCAAAAATGTTTGATATTTATGATTTCAAATTAGGATGATTGCACCAGTAGTGTCAGAGTGGAACCAAGCTTTTGAAACGGTGACCACAAAACAAACTACTGTAAGATTGTGGCAGACAGCTGAGTTGCAGGAAAGACTTGTCGAGATGTTTGTCTACATATATTAAACAAATCTAACCTCCAGTTCTTGTTGAAAAAATAGGCAGGCCATGTTAACCACATCACACCAACCATTTTCTCATTCAGACTAGTTTCTACAGCTTTTGATTTATATCACTGCAACCCAGCAAGGTGTCACACTAAGCCAGTTTCCATTGTGTTTGTTTTGTTTGCACCTTCGTCCTCATGAGATCATGTCAGAGAGGTGACATGAGGAGGAGCGTCACTCCTGGACTGGAGCAATGATCTTAACAATATCGTGAAGTGTGTGATGTGCCAATGTTTTCAACTCTTGGAGTGTGTGCACATTTTGATTAGAAAGAGGAATATCTGCAAAGATTCCCCTCTAATGTGTGATAGAAAATCGGTCTGGATTCTGTAATCTGGGCCAAGTATAAGTCCATATTTACTGTGTTACCACTGTGCTACCCTGTCTTTGCCTGTGTGGGACTCTTACAGTGCAAGTGTTACATTGTTCCTGTCCTATGCTTACCTGTGTCTTATCTCAGGTATTGTGCACAAACACCAGAAACTAAATGTCAACACATCTAAAAGTTAAAAGATGTCCCATGTTTTTTTCTCTTCTCATGTCAAAATCCGGTGAGCAACACCATGGTTAAGGAGTAGACTGTCTACACTTAACCATCCATAGCTTACAAAAGCATGTTATTTCAAACGCTAACACTGATCATAAACACACTACATAACAAAACAGAACATAACTCTGGCATGATTAACGCACACTGGCTAACTTTGGATAATCCACTGACATGCTAATGTTAGCTTATAAACTAACTACTAGCCTTCTTGTGGTAACCGTATAAAATCTTGGCCAGTGTTTTGTAAACTTGTGATTGCATACGTGCAGCATCTGTCAGATGAGGCAGGCTAACTACATGTAGCCACCAACAAACTAGCCAGTTGGCTACAGAGCAAAATCTCCTTTCAGTGTTGTTTGTTGCAGTAACTAGCTTAACGCTAGCTGACTTTCCCTACTAGCGTTACGATATCCAGCTGGCTAACCAGATAATATCGTCTTCACACACATTAAACAACACAACGCGTTGGTTTAATCTTTAGCAACACAACAGACACGGCTGGTTTAGCAAGCTAAAGCCACAAACCTAGCTATTATCCGCCAGCTAGCCGACGTGCTAACTGACTTAGCTACTTAGCAGCCGTGCTAATTGTCCGCCATCACGGAGCTAGTCAGTTTGGTTCATGTTAACTCAGACTTGGCATCATTTCTTTCTGACACTACGAGGAAGTTGTTTGCTTGAGCCGGACAAGCGGTGGTGTTTTCGCTTACCCGTGGCCCCACGTCCTGCCCACTCTGCGTGTCTCTGCGGCTCTCTAACGTGACGGTTGTCGGTAAAATACCCAACCAGACAGGCCCCGCAGTCCGCTACGGGTCTCTTGCCATCTCTGAGCAGGAGCCTCCGACCGGCGAACAGTCGGACGACAGGCGCGCCACCCCAAATACTGCTGTGTAATAACACGGGACACGAGTCAGACCCAGTCAACACTGGACATCATGTTATTTCTGCAAAACACTGCTGTCACCTACACGAGTCTGATCGTGTGAATGTTTTATTACAACTGTGTAAACGATCACACCGAGAATCACATGTTAGTGATTCATGTTGTACTTTTCATGTTTTTCTCAAATATGTCTTATTTTAACTCTCGTGATACATCAGTTCATTTTTCAGTTTCTCCTGCAGCATATTACGGTGGTTCCCAGCCTGAGTGACCAGGAACCCAGGGCGTCTCAAAATACATCTGAAGGGTCACAAGGAAGAAAGCAATAATACTAATAATAAACTTTATTTATATTTTCAATTTTCAAAAACAGAGTTTAGAAAGTAGTGAGAGAAAGAAAAGTAAATATCCAAAGAATGGAATATGTTGCCAAGGCAGATAAGAGAAGTAAATAGTTTTTTACTGGTTGGCTGAAGAAATTGATTATTGATAATCAGATATGTGCACATTAGATGACTGACTGCCTACAGACTTTTGCTGACTGCCTGCAGTTTGTCTTTGGTTTTTACTTGCTGTGGTTTGTCTCATATGTTGTGTTGTTACTTATTGTTATGTTGTTTTAAGGGACAACAGATGAAAATGTGCCTGTTGAGCTAAACTCAGGCTTTTTTACAATCATTTTGCTGTTGATTAATGAGCATTGTCCCAGTCAAACAAACACATTAATGAAACAAATGAAAATGAAATATAAGAGAAATAACAATTAGCAGTAAAAAAAAACAAACATGTAAACATGACATCACATGAAAGCCTGTCTATAAAAATGGGGTTTAAGAAGTGATATAAAGTAAGTTACTGACTCTGCGAGGTAGGCCGTTCCAAAGCCGAGGGGGCCACGATATTGAACAGAACTTTCCATGGTACAACTTTCAGTAGTATTGTGTGTTTTGTGTCTTCCAGCAAAAGCATGGCAAGTGTAAACTCTCCTTTCCTAAATAAACAGGTTTGAGGTGGAAAATCCATAGTTTACAGTGAGGTTCATACCATCATTCCGTTGCTCAAGTATTGTTTTGCCTTCGGCCTGTTAACTGTTGGCTGCCCTCTTGTATATTGAAATTGTCTGCAAAGAATGAAACCACACTGGAAGAAATAGGAAGGTAGCTTAAACCATCACCCCTTTTTAGTAACTGTAGAGAGACAATTTGAAAGATTAAGTTTAGACTCATTCTGCTAGTCTGATTTGATATTTTAGCTCTTTTAGCATTTCTATCCACTCTATAATGATGATCTTAATGATGGACCATGGATCGTGACCATGTTGGCGGACCGTGGATCATGAGTTAACATTGATACACCTGTTCCTTTATTTTTGATGCTGTCTTTCCTCATCAATGTTAGAAATATTGTTATTTTAATGATGTGTTCTGCTACTCCCAGCATCTATTGCACTGGGACAGGGGTCCCTCACACGTGTCTCTCTCTGAAGTTTGAGATTTGCACACTTTTCTTGTCATGTCTAATCATTATACCTGAATTACTGATTTCTACTGGAACCAGATGTCTTAACTTTCCCAAATGCTTTCAAAATTATTATCAAAACGAATGTATTAAAAGATCAGAACAAGGCCAGTTTCCACCTCCTGGTGAAGGCAATCAGTGGCTGGAGGAGACAGATGGTTACACAGAGAAGAGAGCAGATAACCCTCTAGAACCAGGAGATGAACTGTGGGCCTTGCTGGACACCACACACCTAGGGAATCCATAGAGGTGAAAAACATGGGATAACATTGATGGTCTCCTTGGTGTAAAACAACAAAGCTAAGGGTTGAAGTAAACCATCTTGAAAAATCTGTCAACCACAGTGACCGTCAGAGGAGGTTCAACCTTATGAGAGTCCAAAGAGTCAGCTCAGGGGTAATGAGGCAAAGGGAGTACAACTATAGATATGGGCCACTGCGCAACAGCACTGGCCTTATTGGTCTCTATCTGAATGTTGTTCTCTGTGCCTCCCTCTCTGGGGCAAATAAAGATACAATAGGTGTTCTCCAGGGATAGACGTACCTGGTTGATCAAGCAATCGTAGGGTCAGAGGGAGGCGAGGGGAGAGGCGGCTAGACTTATTTCAAACCTCCTTGAGGTCAACCCTACAGAAAGGGCACTGGACACATCTGGTAAGTCAAAGATGAAGGCGAATGACGAGGCAGGAATACAAAAAATGTTCTGCTTATCTGCTTATCACATACTTCTACGTTGTTCTCTCAGGAGGTTTAGTCTGAGCCTCGACTGCTCAGATTCTCCTCAGAGTTCTCCCACTGACTGGGATTTCCTGATGCCTTCGGACAGTGGCTGGCATTGACCCACATCGCTCTTCCATGCTTTGGTCAGGAGGATCAGGAAGGGCCCTTGATTGACTGATTTTATTTGACAATTTCATAAAACCAAAACACAAGCATTGCCAGGGAATTTAGTGCATTTGGAAAATGATAACACACGATAACACAATGAAGCACAAAGGCTTATTTCCGTAATGGCTCTTTTGGTGATAAGGGGTAAGCACGGCAGTTTCAAAAAAAGCAGATCGGACATGGCAACAATTACACAAAAAATAAATGATGATTCAGAAATAAATGATAAAACAAAATAGAAGTTATACTCTATTAACACTATATCAGTCACTCCTTCAGTGCTTTGTTAGACAATGCACATTCTTACCCACTACTTTAACAACTCAACTAATTAAAAAGCTTCAGAGTTAAATAAATGAACATATCAACATCACTTTACATCTCCCACAAAACACAAGTTAGGGACTGATCGTAATGCAGGGTTTTATTGTACTGTACCAGTAGTTGTGGTCCGTGAAGAGTCTTCAGTCCAGGTGTCTCATTTATAACATAGTGTGCAGGAACCATATTAAACTGTGTATGTGCACTCAAGATGAAAATGCTGTGCACCAACAAATGGTTTGAGCTATAAAACCCTGTGCGTGCACACCTGCAGGCCATGTTCCCTCTATAAGTCAAAGTCCACCTGGAAATGTGCGGCACGTGGATCAGGCTCATATCCCATCACCCTAAACACCTACATTCATACATATAGGGCCAATGCAAAATATCATCTCATGAGTGTTGATGAATATAAATGAACCTGCTAGGGTTCTCTAGGGTCAATCAAAGAATTAATGATTTTTTATGACGCAGAAATCAAGGATTTATTTGTAGACTTTACCATTTAAGACGGTCTAGTCTAGATATTAGATACTGGTATTTGCATGACCTACAACCAGATTGTTTAATGTGGTCACTACAGGCTCAGCAGGCCAGTCACACTTCTGAAACCTTAGTTAACTGTGAATACTGATGTGTGTATCTGTGCAGTTTTATAGGGGTCGACTGCTCTTGGCAAACTCACTCTGCCGTACTGCTCCCGGGCAGCGAGACATGTGGATATGAGCCAATCGTTTAAGAATATTTGTGATTCTGATAGTGGTGGCCCTCATATCATTTTTCCAGTAAAGCCATTTTCCAGTCAGCTTGTGTTACAAAGTCAGGCTTTCTCATAGTGCGTGTCGGCATCATGTGAGATGTGTGTGGTGCAGTGGAAGTCAGCTTCAGCTTTGTACTGAACTCTCCCTGCATGGAGCTGTGAGCTCCTACAATCAGCAGTTCTGTCCCTACACATGCTGTGTTAATTAGCTGCTAATATCAAGTATACACCCATAATACACGTAGACTGTATCTTGCTATTTGTGGTGTATGTTATGCATCTACAGTATTTATTTCATGTCTTCTTTTGACCTGATTTCTCTGATATGTGTATAATAAGATGATGCAAATGCACAGTAAATCCATGATGCAGCACGATCAAAATAAGAAGGAAAGTTTGAATCTTTCCACAGTTTTACTTTTAACTGTACCTGAACTGTGTACCATTCCTTTACGCCAACACTGCTGACCCCAAAAGTGTTTAGCTGCTAATTTTTAGAGCAAAATTCTAAGCAGTAGTTTTAATTACAGACTCTATTGCCCCTAAGTGAAAAAAAAGTCAACTGTCTGGCCTGAGACTGGAAGTGTCAATGCTGACAACACTTTGTGTTCCCCTGACTACATGAGTTGGCTGCTGAGAGGGTGTGATTACTTTTGGATTCTGCTTCACTGCCTGTATTGCATCCTGAACTTCTAAGTGTGTCAGTGCAGTTTACCATCAGTCTTCATGGGGGTACCGTGCTGCTGAAGCTCTGGGCCAAGAGGGTTTCAACAGACTCCAGGAAAAAGGGACCCGGAAGGCCCCACATTGAACCCACAAAAACATTGTTATTGCTGCGGACTAATGTAATCAGCTGTTCTCAAGTGGCCCCCTCTTAGTTCGGGGCCCCATGCAATTGCCTTTTGCCAATTGCCTGACCTGTTGCACTTCTGCTCTGTCCCCTTGTCTCTAGCATAGTAATTTTTTGAATGTGTGTTTTTGTGCCTGCACACAATGTGAAATATGTTCCAAAAACACATATTTAAAGATATCTCTGTGAATAATATGGTTTGAGAGATAATCTAAAATTCTAAATTGATCAGGAAATGCTTCCCCATCACGGTAGGTTTAAATAACATCATGAAGCCGCAATGATAGTGTAATAATGCAATCATTTTTGCAACCAATAAGATGAGAGACATAGTCTACAGCTTATTTAGATTAACTGATCATTGTCACCATATGGTACAAATAAGATCATTATGTCATTATGAAATAGCACTATTACATTTAAAAAGTTAGCATTTACCGATTGGAGTTTTTACAGTACAAAGTCGTCAGCGCTGCCATGCCATCCACCCATGACTCATGGTGAAAGTGATTTTTTGACGTTCAAACTAGCAGGCTGAACTGAGACGGGCAGATGAGGACCACGCTGGTCGAGTGTTTCAGGCAGTTGTTCCTGCTGCTTGGGTATTAATAGATATTAAGAAATAGGCAAACAGACTGAACATCTAACAAGAGGTCAACAGAGGTCATCGTAATACCAGTAACTGAACTATGTGGAAAAGACTGGAATGGAGGACCAGACCTTTATTTTACA